CCCCATTGCCATGTGGGAGACGCAAAAGGAGTTCCTGGTCCTTGCTGCAGCCTGGTCCAGCCCCAGTCGTTGCAGCCATGTGGGAGTGAACCAGCAGACAGAAGATTCTCTTTTCCTCTCCTTGTTACTCTGCCTTTCAAAAACAAAAACCTTTAAACAACAGGATAATGTTCGCATAAAATCTTCCTCAGTACCTTAAGTCATTTCAGGTTCCTTTAAATATCTAATGCATATAAATATGATTGTGGATCATTACTGTATACCATATTGTTTAGGGAATGGCAATGAGAAAAAAGAGTCTGTAAATATTCAGTACAGACCCCTGTGTTTCCCCAAGTGTCTTCAGTCCATGGTAGGCTGAGCCAGAGGGTGTGGAGGCAGTGGGCAGAGGGCTGATGGAGCCGTGCGGCTGAAGGTAGACTGTCTGGGCTTGAATGTTGAGCTTCTCTGACTAGTTACCGTACCAGTCTGGGTTCCCCAGAAAACAGCCTGATGATACATCACCTGGGGTAGGGAGGGTGTGATCCAAGGGTGCCGAGGATGAGGGAAGGAAGGAGCACAGACAGGAGGGAGATGAGGGAAGGAGGGAGCACCAACAGGAGGGAGGTGAGGGAAGGAGGGGGCACAGACAGGAGGGAGATGAGGGAAGGAGGGAGCAGACAGGAGGGAGTGCAACAGTTTCTGTTGCGCATGTGCTGCTTGCAGCGCACCCAGCCTGGAGGAGACCATCCCAGAGCCCTCGCCTGCTCCTGCCTGCATTCCAGCCAAGAGGCATACACCTGCCAAATACACAGAGAAACAATGCAAAGGCTCCTCTCCCTCCCTCCGCACAGCAGCTAGCCCAGCTGTTAAGCCGCCTGAGTGCCAAGTCAGAGTACCTGGGTTTCATGGCTGGCTCCAACTTCCTGCCAGTGCAGGAAGTGGCAGGCAGTTGAGGATGGTTTAAATCCACAGGGCCCACCTCCTGTGCAAGGGCTATGGATTCAGCTCCCAGCCCTAGCTTTGATCTTGTGGCATTCACCAAAGGGGAGCTCTGGCTGTCTCTCTGCCTCTCAGAATAAATACATAATTTTAAAATGTAACAAAAGTTAAATGAAAAGCGAGTATTGTTTTGGTGCAAAAAGTTTTGAAATCCATGCACAGTTTTTTCATAATTGGCATTTCAATGAACTTCTTGAGGAGTTTTCGTACGCTTGGATTAATGTATGGATACATCTTAACGTGGAATGAAAATTAGATAATACCAGCGAAATACTGTCACCTGTCATTGTGAAAACAGCAAGATGATGTCAAAAAGTCATGGTTTGGCATTATGAAATATATATAGATAAAATGACTTTAATTGTGATTTGCATTATTACCATTTGTGACTATTAATTACAGTGCAATTTTAGTAAAACTTGTTTTACTAACATTTTAATGAATTGTATATTTTACATCAGAAAAAAATAATAATGTCGAGTGGAAAGTAGCCAGTGAGATGAGGAGATAAATCCTGATGGTTAATGTCGGTAATGACCCAAGATTTGTAATGAGCACTCTGCCGCTCATTACAGTCACGCACTTATCATGTAGTTATTTGAAAAGCAGAGTAACAGAGAGATCTTCCAGCTGCTGGCTCACACCTCCAGTGTCTACCATGTCTGGAGCAGACCAAAGCCAGGTATCTGGAACTCCATGGGCATCTCCCAGAGAGAAGGCAGGGCCCAGGGACTTGGGGCATCATCTCCTGCTTTCCCAGGCACATGTTCAGGAAGTTGCATTGGAAGCAGGGCAGCTGGGACTGAAGCCGGTGCTTCTATATGGGATGCTGCAAGTGACAGATTATTTGCCCACTGCACAACAATGCCAGGCCCGGTTATGCATTTTGTAGAAACTTGAGATATTCTGACCTATTACAATGGCTACTAGTTTGATTTGGCCTTGGTTCAGCCCTGGCTGTTGCAAACATTTTGGAAGTGAACTAATGGGTAAAAGGGTGCTCGCTTGCTCTCTCTTCTCTTTCTTTCTTTCTTGCCTTTCAACTAATTAAAATGAAAAGAAATGGTTTAAGCTGCCAAAACATTATAACAACAACAACATTTTAAGGAGAAAATGAACACATGAACTATTCAAATTTTTGTTTATCCCAGTTCTCGTTTACATTTTTGTGTAGTTTACACAAAGCCTAACCAAGGAGTCCAGAGCAGACCATGTGCTGAAGTTGGTCCCACTCTCTGGGTGTAAGGCCTTTTTCATTTCTTTACAAAACAAACAGCAATGATTGATCACATCATCATCCAATCCCACATTTAATCGCTTAATATTTTCTGTCATGAATTTGCTTTTTCCGTTTGGGTGGTTTCTTAGCCAAAGCACCAAGGAGTATTTTGACTCATACAAAAGAAAGCTTTTTTGTTTGTTTCTCATTCACTTGTCTTCCAAAAGAATAGCAAGTATCATTAGAATAGCTGGAACAGTTTTAGCCAAACATCACCAGATTTAGGCTTTCTCCACTTTTTGGTTAATTTGCAGAACACATTTGAGAAACGTGAGTATAAAGTAACCTCTATTTTTGTCCTTGAAGATCCCAAGTAGGACTGAGCTCTCCCTGAGTTGGCCACTGTTTAGTGAAATACAAATGTCCTTCACACATTTCAGCACTCAGGATCTGGAAGAATTCTTTGTATCTCTGGCTTGTAACAATGCCTGCTACTCCTGTCTCACTTGCCTTTAATCAGCATGCGATTTTTAGACCAACACTTTAGATATCTTTGTAATTGAAGTTACCAAGGCAACACAGGGCAAGTGAGGGCTTTTTGGTCACTGAAAGAAAAAGTACCAACCAAACAGCAAAATGTGAATGACCTTATATGATGCCTGAGACGCAGAGCATGTCATGGCGGAAACACACAGCTCCATCTACGCCAAGCACTTCAAACCACATTGCTCCAGGCTTTCTCCTTAGGGATTTATTTTCCTAATGAATTCTGGAGTTCTGTGAGTGACCTTTGCTTGACTGTTAGGAACACAGAGGTAACATGCTTGTGACTGCGGCTGCCCTCCAGGGCTTGCTGGTTGAGCAGTCTGCAGGCAGTTCCCAAGGCAGGCTAGCATTTGCTGATCTGCCTCAGAAGGACTGAGCTCAGGTGTTAAAAGAATCGTTCTGGTTTTCCTGAAGCCAGCATTGCTGGAGTAGGAGGAAACTGAGTGAGCATGGGAAGGACAAGCTGGCGAGGTGGGTGGGGGAGCAAGTTCAGGAGAGAGGCAGGGTGCGGCCGGCAGTGCTTCCCACTGGATCTGGGTTGGCCGGCCTTTCAAGGGGAAGTGTGGCCAGAAGTGAGGGACCCCAGTGAGCAGGCCATGCATTGACAATAATCCTGAACAGAGTACAGGCCTGATGGACAGCCACAATGCTCAGGGCTGTACCAGGAGCCTCCGAGTCTCCCATGTGGGTTCAGGAGCCCAAGGATTGGGCCATCTTCTGCTGCTTTCCCAGGCATGCTAGCAGGGAGCCGCGTTGCAAGTGGAGCAGCTGGGATCTGAATTGTACCCATATGATATGCTGGCACTGTGGACAATGGCTTTACTCACTATGCCACAACCCTGACCTCACTTTTACTTTAAAATTTAAAATAAATGAGTGAAAGCCAAATAAGGCTGCCGATGGAGATGTGAGAACAGGAGGGGCTAGGAAGTTGATCCGTCCAAAGCTGCCCACTGCCAGAACCCTACCTTGCACACTGAGATGCCAGCCTTCTCTTGGCAGGCCAGCCCCGGGAATCCCTTCTGCACTTCACCCGGGAATGTCCACAGCTCTTGACAAATCGGGCCGTTTGCCTTTCCAAGGTTGGGGCTGGCTGAGCGCACTCTAAGCACTTCGTGATTTTGCCCGTGAGGATGCCGCGTTTGGGCGAAAGTGCAATCCATAATCAGAATTCAAACACAAAGCCAGCCACAACTGCTTCTTTACTCAAAGCTATTTAAAAAAAATTTCTTTTAAAAATCATTTTTATTTGAAAGGCAGAGTTGCACACACAGAGGGAGAGACTCAGCGAGAGATCTTCCTTCTGCTGGTTCACTCCTTCAAGTGTTGCAACAGCTGGAGCTCAGCTAGGTCAACGCCAGGAACTCGGAGCTTCTTTCCGGTTTCCTATGTGAGTGCAGGGGCCCAAGCCCTTTGGGCCATCCACCAACTGCTTTCCCAGGCCATTAACAGAGAGCTGGATTCGAAATGGAGAAGCTGGGGCTCAAACTGGTGCCCATATGGAATGTAAGCACCACAGGCAGAGGTTTGATAAGCAAAGCCACAGCACTGGCCCACTCTTCCTCTTTTAAAATGGAGAGCCATAACAGAGCCCACCCATCTGAGCACCTAAACACGAGAGGGTTGGCCCAGGCACACAGGATGCTAATGATCTTCCAAGGTTTTACAATGTATCAAGCGCTTATTCCAAATGTAGCTTAGTAACACATCAGCAGCGAGGTGGTTCTTCAGGTCCCTGGAGCCAGCAGCTCTGGGCAGGGCCGAGCATCCAGTAGGTGTGCACGAAAGGCGTGCATTTTGGGATACTCTGTAAAGGTTGACCAAGGCCTTGCTACTTCAACTTGCAGCTACGAGGTGTGGCCGAGAATCACTCAAATGAGGGCCTCCTCTCACCAGCGGGTGGTTCCGCTTCTGGGGCGACTGTGATTCACCCCATCACACGCGGAAGGCCCCGTGCCACTGCTGGGGGACGCACTACAAGGGCCGGTCCAGCTCAGCACAATCCCTGCACCCCCGGCAGAACAATTACGGCCTGGAAGAGCCACGTTCTCGGCGTTGGGGCGTGGGGACCAGGCGGAGCGACCTAGAGCCTCCCGGTTCCACACGCTGTGGGCCGCAAACGCCGCCTCGGCCTCTCCGGCCGCGCCCGTTGTCTCCCCGCTCCTGAGTGGCTGCGGAGCCGGGATTAACCTTTCACCGCGGCGCTCTGTCCAATCACAGGCCCGCTCTCAGGCCGCCGCCGCGGGGCGAGGCGGCGCGGGGCGGCGCGGGCGCGGGTGGGATTCTCCAAGCGGCGGTGCGCCGTTGCCGCGGGCCGTGCGCGGGCTGCGGGCGAGGCGGGCGCTGCGCAGTCTCCGCAGGCGCCGGCGGGAGGGGTCCCGGCGGAGGCGCGGCGCAGGCGGCTCCAGGCCCAGGTGAATGGAGTAACCTGACAGCGGGGACGAGGCGACGGCGAGCGGGAGGAAATGGCGGCGGCGGCGGCCGCGTCGGGCGGCACCGGGAGGCCTGGGCTGTGACGCGAGCGCCGGAGCGGGCTCCGATGGTTCTCGAAGGCCCGCGGCGCCCCGTGCTGCAGGTGAGGCGGGCTCCCGCTGCGTCGCTTTGTGTCCCGGGGGGTGGGGAGGGGGCGGGGAGCGGCTCCGCCCGGCGTGGACTCCGCGTGGGCGCCCTGGGCCCCGCGCCGCGCGTCGGGGCCTGCCCGGGGCCCGCGGCCTGGCCAGGCCTGGGCGGCGCTCTGCGGGGCCGGGCGCGCCGCCTGCCCCTCGCCCTCCAGCCCCGCATCTCCTCCCGGGACTTTGCGTGGCCGCTGTGGCGCGGCGTGGGATACTGGGGGCCTCTGTCCTCTCCAGGCGTCCCCCTTAACCCATGGCGAGCTGGGGCTTTTGACAAGTCCTGGCTCGGCCCCACGAAAGTGGTGTGGCAACGCCGTGCGCCCCGGGGCTGGGCTCTGCTGGCCTGGTCACTGCATGCGCTGGCCCCAGGGGACTCCTGAAAGGGCGTGGAGGGGGCGAGGCCGGGGCCCCGACGGGTGGGGTGGGTGGGTGAGAAATCCCTGCCGGGGACCGGGTGTGCTGATTGGCAGATGATCAGATCTGGTCCCAGGAGGCGGGAGGCCGTCCTTGTCCCTCCCTGTGGCTGTTCCTTTGCCGGGGTGTTGATCCTGCATAGGAACCTTCTCTGAACTTGGGGCAGGCCCATGTGCGGTTGAGGTTCTGAGGATTGTCAGGACTTTGCCCGCTGGCGGTGCTGGCTGCCTGGTGGGTTTGTAGCAGCGGACCGTGCTGGTGGCCATCGAGGCTTTGGGGAAGGAAGGTGTGTGCTCCTTGCACGCACGCCCAGTGGTCTGAATGTTACTCCGAGTTCTGAACAGCCCTCTGCCAACCATCTCCCTGCGGCTTATTTTCACACCCAGCCAAGTTAAGAGTTTAGTAGCTGGGAAGAGGGATGGTAAGATCCCTAAATTGGAGTTTTTGTTGCAAACATTGAACATGGTAAACAAAAATATCCATCCCAACTAAACACTCAAAGAATGGATTGGAAGATGGGTTCTGGATTAGGCTCAGGCAATAAATGTTGAGATATTACTAATATCTCATGAGAACTAGCTTCTGGAAGAATCCATTTGCACTGCAAGGTGTATGTTTTAAGACTCCTGTGGTGTGTGTGTCTGGTATGCCAAGCAGGTACACACACACACACACACACACACACACACACACACACACGTCCTTATGAATATGTAATTATCCAAAAGCTTCATTTAGAGCATATTTTATGAAACGGTAACTTTTTTGAATGTACAGAAGATTACTTTTAGTGTAGTTGCTATGAACCAGGTCATGGGGTTACTTGTGGCACAGAGTGCTTCTTCAGACAGGTAGTTTTGGTTTCAGAAGCAAAGGCCTTTCCCTGCAGTTGTCTTTTAGTGTCTGGCTTTCCTTTGATGTGGCCATCCCCTCCTAGGAAGGTTAAGTTCTGGCGCTGAGTGGCTTTGTGGTTCTGGTATGTGCGTGGTGTAGCTAGATGGCTTTGCTGTTGCTGGGTGCTCCTGTTGTCACTTGAGACACCGTTTCATGTGATGTGGCCTAGAGAGTGTGGGGTTGTGCGTCGTCCGGGCGGTGTGGCACTGACTTGAGAGTGTGGGCTGTGTGTTGTCTGGGGGCGGTGGGGCACGGACTTGAGGGAGGGTGGCATTGGGTGTAGACATGCGCTGTCCTGTGCTCCTCTCTGGAAGCTGCGGGCTTGCTTCCTGGGAGCAAGCGGGTGCTTCTCGGACACGCCTCAGTTGTTACCTTCCCTTGGCGTCACACTTAGCTGTGGCAGAGGAAGGGAGTACCGGTCCAGGTGAAGTGCCAAGGCTGTACCCCGAGGTGCTTCTTCTAGAGAGATCTTTTAAAAAGTTGTACTTATTTATTAATTTTGAAAGGCAGATTTACACAGAGAATGAGAAAGATCTTCCATCCGCTGGTTCACTACCCAAATGACTGCAAGTCAGAGCTGAGCTGACCTGAAGCCAGGAGTCAGGAGCTTTGTGCTTCGTGTGGGTCTGCAGTATGGGTGCCTGTGCCCAAGGTTTTTGGCCATTCTTTGTTATTTTCCCAGGCCATTACCAGGGAGCTGGATTGGAAATGGAGCTGCCAGGAGTTGAACTACCACCTATATGGGATGCTGTTGCTGCAGGCGTTGGCATAACTTGTTATGTCCCCTCTCCCCCTAACACTTAGTTGTCCCCTTGCTTCACAGGCCAGGGACTGTTGAGACTCCGTGCTGATGGCCCAAGTTGTGAATCTAGCAGTGGCAGAGGCTGGGTTGAGTGACGCCTTGGCTTCAGAGATCTTGGCACTGCCGATCCAGCTGGATGCTAGGGGAGAAGTCTGCAGCGCCAGTCAGTCCTCAGTGAAGTCCCGTGTGGTCTGCAGTTAGCTGAGCTGCCCATGGGTTCTTTTGTCTCCACCTGATAAAATGTAAGCTGTACCATCTTAACCATGTCTGAGTGTGCTGTTGGATATACTGGCAGTGTGCTGCAGCTGTGCCCACTGCCCAGCTCTGCCCCTCCCTGTGCCCCGCCCCCAGCAAGCTGTGCAGCTCTCCATGTCTGTGGATGTGCCTGTTTTGGAGCCATACATTTGTGTTCTTGTGCTGGCACAGTATCTCTGGGGTTCCTCCTTGTTGTAAATGTGTCAACATTTCCTTTCCTTTCCCAGCTGAGTGATGTTGCATCATGTGTGTTGATGGTCCCCAATTTAAGATTTCTCTGTTGGAGTTCAAAAGCAGTACACATTGTAGAAACAGCAAGTGGCATTTGAACTTGTGTCTCCTGGGCTGCTGAGGCTGGGCAGTGGCAGCAGGCACAGCTGCTAGGTGGCCGTGCAGTCTTTAGAGGGAGGCCCTGGGCCTCCACAGTGGATGACATCTGTTAAATGCATTCCATCTTGGAATCTTTTTGTGTAACATGATGGGTTTATGAAGACACAAGCTTGTCATAAATCAGCATTTAAGTCTGTACATACCTGTTCCTCTCTTAATGGCCCCTTGGATTGCTTTCATCTTTTACTTTTTTAATACATGTATTTTACTTTTATTTGAAAGGCAGAGTTACAGAGACAAGGAGAGAAAGAGGTTTTCCATCTGCTGATTCACTCCCCAGGCCACAGAGGGTGGAGCTGAGCCAATGCAAAGCCAGGGGCCAGGAGCTTCTTCCGGGTCTCCTGTTTGTGTGCCAGGGCCCAGAGACTTGAGCCATGCTCTGCTTTCCCAGGCCACAAGCAGGGAGCTGGTTGAGAAGTGGAGTAGTCAGGACTCAAGCCAGCACCCAAATGGGATGCCAGTGCATGAAGGCAGAAGCTTAGCTTACTGTGCCACTGTGCTGGCCCCTCTTTCATCTTTAGTCAACTGTGAACCTGTTAGCAGTACGTAGGTCTGTCAGTACTAGCTTGAGTCTCTGCTTTTCCCCCATTTCTTTTGGGCGGGGGCTATACCCAGATGGAATCAGATTGTTACTTGATCCACAGGACACTAGCCAGAATGTGCTGCAATTGGAGTTTCATACAGACAGTGGTCATCTACAAACAGTTCCTCCATGTCAGTGAAAGACTTAGCACGTCGAGGCCCAGGATTGACTCATCTTCATGCTCTTGATTCCCATCACAGCGTCTTGGCATGAATTCAGATGAGTGCATTGGCTCCAACATGGAGTGATGTGCTTGCATCGCTTCTTGGCCTTTGGCTCAGATCGAGTGTGGAGTGATGTGCTCGGTTGAATCAGAGATGCCGATCAGATCTGTGTTTCACTTGTGTACACAGAAAGCTGGAGCCAAGCGAGGGGCTTTGTTCTCCAGGAGCGTGGCTTCTCCTGAGAGCCTGTTGGTGCACACGTGCCGTGCCAGCTCGTGGTCACGGGCTCCTCCGCAGCACCTGGACTTGTGTGATTCCTTGGTGGTTGCTGCCTTAGCTGTGGGATTTGGGCCTTGCCGTGCTGGTGTTCTGCTGCTTTGATGTTCAGGAAACGCTTCGCAGTGGAAGGCTGATTGCTGCCAAGGAGACGCCAGTATCAGCGCATTCTGCAAGAGAGGGCCGATTCTTTGACAGCCGCTTGTAGTCTGTTCCTTTGAGAGAGGACTGGAGTGGCCCTACAGTGGCAGAAGGACTTTGAAGATACCAGTGGCGGTGGGTAGGAGTAGCTTAGGAAGGAGAGAGCTGCTAAGTGAGGGCAGGAGTGACGCAGCCTGCCTGTGGCAACAGTTGGCTTTTACCCTTTGTAGTTTGTCAAACTGAAAGAGGAAACGGGACTAATTATAGCTGACGTTGATGAATGAAGGGAAGTAAACCAATTAATCAGAGGCAGCAGGTTGTTCTGGATGGAGAACACTCATTTACATGCATACATTGAAATGACATCAACAATATATAGATGGAGGGTTTCATGTTTTCCAAATGATGAAAACATTTTCATGTGTTGTTTTGGGGCCACATGTTAAAGCCTCGCGGGGGTGCGGCAAACAGGAATGCTTGAGTATGCAGGTGAGAACTGTTGTTGCGATTTCATTCAGTGTAGCTCCTTGGTCTCTGAGCTGGTGTCCTGCAGTGTCAGGGGCTCATTCAGGCTCTGGTCACATGCCACACAGCAGTCCATTCAGAAGTGGATTGCCCGCTGGACAGTGCAGGCAGTCAGGGCTTGTTCGCGGTGTTGTGCTGGTGTGAACAGTAGGACTGTTTGTGTAGAGAGTATCTGCTGGGTACATGAATGGATGAAGAGAGAAAAGCATGAGTCTTCGAGCCATAATTAATGTGATTTTCAGTGTTAGATTTTTGAGGGGCTGGCATGTGGCGCAGTAAAACCACTGCCTGCAGAGCTGGCATCCCCTGTGGGTGCTGGTTCAAGTCCTGGCAGCTCCCCATTAATGCTGCTTGGAAAACAGTGGAAGATGGACTGTTTGGGTTCCTCCACCTGCATGGGAAACTCAGGCGGACTTGTAAGCTCCTGGCTTCAGCATGGCCTGGCTCTGGCTCTGTGGGCCTTTGGCGAGTGAACCAGGAGGTGGAAGATCACTCTCCCTCTGTGTGTGTATGTGTGTG